TGGAGCGGATGTGACTTCCCCTCCAGCCATTAGGAGCTCAGTCTGAAATCTTATATTAGAAAAATGTTTTAAAACGGCCAACTCCAGAGATATCTATTTTTAATTTTCTTGAAAGTAAAAAAATAAACAGTGACAGAACTAGGCAGGAACCTGCTGGTATCCCATCTTTGGAACCATAGAGAGACTCTCTCAATAGCCAAGGCCTGGGCTGTAGCTTAGGTGGTAGAGAGGAGGTTCGATTCCTAGAGAATCGTAAAAGAAGACAGTGACATAACTGATCAACACATTTTTTTCCTTTTCTTTTCTTGTTTTTTTCAAATGGGGCTAACTCTGTAGCTCTGACTGTCCTGTAACTGACTATATAGACCAGGCTGGCCTTGAACTCACAGAGATTCACCTGCCCCTGGGTGCTGGGATTAATGGTGTAGTCTTAAGACTTTCATCTTTTCTCTCTCCCCTCCCCTCCCCTCCCCTCCCCTCCTCTCCCCTCCCCTCTGCTCTCCTGCTTTCCCTTCTGGTTATTCAATTTCTCTGTTTTTTTGTTTGTTTGTTTGTTTTTTGTTTATTGAGACAGGATTCCTCTGTGTAGCTTTAGTGCCTGTCCTGGAACTCACTCTGTAGTCCAGGCTGGCCTTGAACTCACAGAGATCCCCATCTGTCTCCGCCTCCCAGGTGCTGGGATTAAAGGCATGCACCACCACCGCCAGCAAGAATAGACTCTTTTTTTTCTTTTTTTAAATTGATTTTTATTGAACTCTACATTTTTTTCTGCTCCCCTCCCTGCCTCTCTCCTCCCCCCTTCAACCCTCCCCCAAGGTCCCCATGCTCCCAATTTACTCAGGAGATCTTGTCTTTTTTTACTTCCCATGTAGATTAGATCTATGTAAGTCTTGGTGTCCTCATTGTTGTCTAAGTTCTTTGGGGTTGTGATTTGTAGGCTGGTTTTCTTTGCTTTATGTTTAAAAACCACTTATAAGTGAGTACATGTGATAATTGTCTTTCTGTGTCTGGCTTACCTCACTCAAAATAATGTTTTCTAGACTCTTAAAAATAAGATTTACTGAGCTGGGTGAAGATGGCCAAGAACAATGGCTTCTGTGAGTAGGTATCAGCAAACTGCTGTAAATATGACACCCCTGCTCTAAGACTGGTTTAGGCGATGCTGGAGCATTTTAAGGATAGCAAAGATAGGGCGATCTTATGGACCAGGAGGATATTTGGATTATGTCCTTAAAGTCTTTATCAGAATGGTACAGTCGGATGGAAAAGTTCCTCTGTCTGATGGAAGCATGGAATAGAAACCCAGGCAAGAAGCCAGGCTGGCTAGTGAATCTTATTTAGCACTGACAGACAGAAAAGTGATGGTTACATTTGTGGGAGAAGAGAGCCAGCAGAAGTACCATGGTGCTGGAAGAAGGTCTGACACAGCAGCAGTGTGCACAGACTTAGAGGAGAATGCACCAGTGGGGGATGACAGACAGTGTGCCCAGACTTAGAGAAGAATGCACCAGTAGGGGATGACACACAGACAACGTGCACAGACTTAGAGGAAAATGTACCAGTGGGGGAATGACCATGGAGCTGAACAGTGTGCAGCCTCCAGTGGAGAGTAGGAAAGAGTGCATGGGACTGAAGGTTGTTAGTTGGTGACCTTAAAATTATCGGATGTACCTTGGAGAGATGGCTCAGCTGTTAAGAGAACCCATTGGTAGCTGTTGCAGAGGACCCAGGTTCAAGTCCCTCCCTGTATCATAGCTCACAACTATCTACAGCTCTATTTCCAGGGGATCTGATGTTGTCTTCTGGCCTCTGCAGGCACAAGGCACACAGTGGTGCACAGACATATGTATGGCCAAAACACCCGTACATGTAAAATGAAAACAAATGCTTTTTAAAAATTATGGGATGTACCATTTCATTATTATCTTAAAAAGTTATGCATCTAATACCCGGGGAATTTGAGAAACATTTATAAAAAATTGGAAGCTGCATCTATGATTTCCATATTTAAGAGAACTAAAATGTCATTGAAGTTAGGATGACTGTCCACGCACACGAGAACGTCTCACGATAACTGAAAAGGGCAGTCGGTGTCCCGCGCTACCGTCTCGCCAGTAAGAACGACGCGGGGCACTTAGGATACTTCTGCAGTAAAGCTTTAATGCCTCTTGAGAGGGAGAGCATCAGCTTCCAAAGCGGAGACCCAGAATGAGGGGAACCCAGCCCTTATAAAGGAAACAGTCCTCGCTTCTGACGTGTCACTCTTGAATTGGTCCACTGCCCATTATCCCAGATGATGCCTCGGACGCAGCGGTAGAGAGTTACAAAGCACGTGCGCTGGGATTAAAGGCGTGTGCTACATCACCTTGAACTCACAGAGATCTGCTTGTCTCTGCCTCCCAGGCATTGGGACCAAAGGCGTATACTACCACGCCTTGAGGTCACAGAGGTCAATCTGCCTCTGCCGCCCAGGCATCAGGACTAAAGGCGTGTGCCGCCACACCTTGGGGTCACAGAGGTCAATCTCTACCTTTGTTCCTAGAAGCAATGGAGAATGTGGTCCGGCCCTCCACAAGTCGGAACAATACTGACAGTAGATGGAAACCGTGCCCAGGGTATCATTTAGAGACTGTGTAGTGGGCTCCAGTGGAGAAAGAGTCAGCTTGTCTTGGGTTCAAGCCCTGTGGCATTGGATGTTAGCAATGCTAGAAATGCCTGTGTTTTCTTCTCCAAAATGTCCTCGCAAGGGTCTTGGCAGTTCAGAACACATAATGCTCTACAAAGGATGGAGTTCCCAGCTCAACGTTAAATCCAACCCAAGGAGCCCTGATAACTCAGGTACCTGAACTTACATGAACACACACACACACACACACACACACACACACACACACACTTAAAAATACAAATAAATATTAAAACACCATAAAATGATGAATGCCACCAATTGCGTGGTAATTAAATGAGTCAGTATGGTCACTATATTGAACACCATCTAAAACATGGTAAGCGCTCTCCCAGTTACCGAGTTTCTTCTATTTGGGCACTCGAATCTCTTCCGCAGTCCTCCTTGTACCTCCATTCTAACACCAGGTGGCAGCAGCTCTCACTTAAACAGTTACAATGAGGACGGCTACCAACTGGAAGATAAAGGAGAGGAGCCAGCAGGCTGGGGAGAGACTGAGACAGAGATGGAGGGAAGATGGGTAGAACAAGAGGCACAGAGAGAGGAGGGGGGAGAGGAGAAAAAGAGAGGTAGAATTTGGTAATTTATTTTAATTAGCATACAAAATAGCGGGAGGCATCCCAGGATCTTCATCTAAGTATCCTTACACTGGTTCTAGTTCATTATCTTTTCTTTCCACCCCGTGTCCCTTCTTGCTAGAATTTGGTATTTCCTTTCCTTCTTCTTTTAAAAACTTTTTTTTTTTTTAACGTGTATGGTTTTTCCCCCTTGCAAGTATGTAGTGTCTGGAGGGGCATCAGATCTCTTGGGACTGCAGTTACATAGGGCTGTAAGTGGCCATGTGGGTGCTGGGAATTGAATCTGTGTCCCTTGGAAAAGTAGCCAGAGCTCTTAACTACTGAGCCATATCTGCAGCCCTTAAGATTTATTTTTACTTTATACGTTAGGGTGTTTTTTCTGCACGCATGTCTGTTCACCATGTATGTGCAATGCCCTCAGTGGCCAGAAGTGGGGTCAGATGCTCTGGAACGGGAGTTTCAGATGGTTGTTAGTGCCATGTGGGTGCTGGGACCCGAAAATGGGTCTTCTGAAGAGCAACAGGTGCTCTTCTTCACCAGTGAGATATTTCTTCAGCACCAATTTGGTATTTCTAAAGAAAATTCAGAAAGCAGTCTTTGAGGATCTTTGTTGGACAGCCTTCTTCCACCTCCTTGGATGTTTAGTTTAATTCTCCTGTGTCAGTGGGGTTGTAGGGGGGTCATATGCTCTTTGTTGATAATATTTAAGCATTGTAAGTAGCTCTGGATGAGTGTTTCCTAGATTGCAGGGCACATGTCTGTAAAAATGTACTTTCTGTTCATTGTTAACTTAGATTTCCTCCTCCTCCTCCTCCATTACCAGAAATTCTGCAGTTGAGCTTCTCACATTTGGGGAACTTGCAGGGGTCAGCATGTCCAGAGTGCTCACCCTGGGAAAACTGCCTTCGTGATTATATGATCTCCCCTGCCAGCTAAGTATTTGGTATTAGTCTTAATCACAAAAATAGGTTGGACTGGCAAGACGGCTAAGGGATAAATGTTTGCTGTCAAGCATGATGATCTGCGAGTTTGAAGCCAGCCTGGGCTGCCTAGTGGTTCTAGATCCTTCTGGACTTCTCAACAAAACAAAGCAGGAAAGAAGTGTGGCAGGTGGAGAGATTAGTGTGTTTGGCCTTAAAAGCTGGCCCTGAAACTCGCTGTGTACTGAGGGCCCATGCCCCTCTCAATCGGAACATTTTGTCTCTTTCATAGAGTTGTCACTTAACTCATAATGATATAATCTGGTCCTTCTGTGCTTCAGAGACTCGTAAGCATTATCTTTAATTGATACTACCCACGAAATCTACACATACAATATTCTCTTTTGCTTAGGAAGTCATTTAGGCTCGGAGGAGGGACATGGAAAGGTCCTGGTCTTAGCAAGGAACAGTTCTAGCAAAACCCTCCCGCATAGTGACACCGTTTGCCTGGGACCCTAAGAAGTGACTAGATGGATCCTCACGGTCACTGTTGTGTGACTATCCACACAAATCCATCTGCTTTTTGTAGAAACCGACGCCAGAACCTCGACCGTGGGCCGTCACCCACTCGTGAGGAGTGAGTCCCACTGCGGAGGGGTTGAGTCCGAGCGCCCTGTGGGCGCGCACACACAAAGCCCTTTGTTGAGGGCGGGTGACGCAGGGCGGGCACGGGGCAAGCGGGGGGGGGGGGGGCCCCCGCAAGAGCGAGCAAGCAAGCAGGCGCACTCACGAGCAAGCGGGCGCACGAGCAAGCAGAAAGGCGCGTGTCCGCGGCGGGGTGGCTGCGAGTGCGCGGCCATGTGCGCCTAGCGCTTGCTGCCCTGGGTCGCGCGGCCGAGGCCCACGGACCTTCAGCCGGGTACAGAAGGGCGGGGAGTGGCTCTGGAATGGGAGGGCGAAGAGGGCGCTCGCTGCTCCGCTCCAGTCGTGGCTGGAACTGCACCCTGGAAAGGGCCTTGGCAGCCAGTGCAAGCCTGGTGATGCAGGGAGTAGAGCTGCAGGGTCCTTGTCCTTATCACAGACTAAGGGCACACTGCTGCGAGACTCTGCATCGGGGCACAGGCACGGGCAGTGACCGCCTATGGTGCCAGGGCGCGGGGCTGCCTGCCAACTTCAAACTTTTAGTCGCCTGACTTTCCTCCTCCGTAGATGGTGGCTGAACTGATAGAGCGACTTCCTGGAAACAAATGGAACTAGCATTTTTTTTTTTTTTTTTTTTTAATGTTCAGGGTCCAGATTCAGCTAATGTTTACGAATGTGCTTCCTGACGTTCCTCCATGTTTTGTCACGACCTTTTGGTTATTTGGCTATAAAAATATTCAAATGAGAGCTGTTGCTGTCCTTCCAGGCCAAGAGCATCGGAGACGGTACATCAGGCTCCTATGTAAGGGAAAGATCGTGACCATTCACCATGGCGTATGGCTTGCCAAGAAGGAACACAGTACAAACCATTTTGAAGGGCAGTTGTTATAAAGTGTAAGTACACACACACACACACATACCTATACACAAATTACAATAGTGTGGCTGGGGTTTGTGACGGGCTGGGCACGCTTCTCAGCAAGTTAATGGAGTATAAGAAAACATTTTAAAGTGTCTGAATTTTGTTTCTAAAAGACTACTTGAAAAATTATTTTTATGTTGTACATGCCTCTTCGTGCATTATGTTTAAGGGGGTGTCTATGGGGGCCAGAAGACATCCCCTGGAACTGGAGTTACAGGTGCTTCTTGTGAGCTGCCCCCTGTAGATGCTGGGAACCAAACCTGGGTTCTTTGAAAAAGCAGTTCATGCCCTTAGTGGATGATCCATCTTTCCGGCTTCCCAAATACTACTTTTTACAAAAACATACAAACGGGGGTAGAGAGGTGGCTCATGGGTTAAGAGCACCTGTTGTTTTTCCAAGGATTGGGGCTTAGCTCCTAGCACCCACGTGGTGGCTCACACAGTCTCTAACTCCAGTGCCAGGGGACCTGTCACCCTCTTCTGGACTCAATGGGCATAAAGCATGCTTGAAGACACATGCATATACGCAAACAAAACACCACCACAAAATAAAATAATCTGAAAAATCAGAATATGCATACAGGGGAGGGAAGGACGTATTTGGCCTTGTTTTGGGGCATGTTCATGTCAGTTCATCACTGAGGGAAGCCTTGGAGGAATCCAGCTTGCTGTCTGGCTCACAGGCTCGTACTTAACACGCCTTACACACCCCAGACCACCTGCTCCCGGGGAGTGGTGCAGCCCACTGTGCACTGGGTCCTCCTATGCAGTTAACAGGGAAGACAAGTCCCCACAGATGAGGCCACAGGCCTTGTGATCTGGGAAATCCCTCAGCTGAGACTCCCTTCTTAGGTCGTTCTAGGCGGTGTCAAGTGGCCAGTTAAACTGAGACACTATTCTATTCACCAAAGACAGAATGTGAAACAAGAAAACAGAGGTCTAGGTTGATCAAACCACAGTCTTGTGCTATGAAATTCCACGGGAGGCTGTGCCACCTTATTTAAAAACATTTTTTTTTCAAGACAGGGTTTCTCTGTGTAACAGTCCTAGCTGTTCTGGAATTAGCTCTTGTAGACCAGGCTGGCCTTGAACTCCCAGGGATTCCTCTGCCTCTGCCACCGGAGTGCTAGGATTAAAGGTGTGCGCCACCATTGTCCGGCTTGTTTAAATCCATTTTAAAAGTGATTTTTTTTAGGTTGACATAGGTTTCTATGTGTGTGTCTATATTTGTAGGTCTGTGTTTTTTCTTTGATTTCAGCCATTCAAAAACACCTGAACCACTCCCATCCTAAAACACACCTTTAGCGGATACAAATGTACTAGAACACCTGTGTAAAAGCACTTCCTTAGCTGGTGCAAAGAGTCAGTTTAGCTTTCTTTCCTCTTTGGCAGACAGTGTATGCTCACATGGACTTTTTTTTAAAAAAAATATTTATTTATTAATTATGGATACAATATTCTATCTGTGTGTATGTCTGCAGGCCAGAAGAGGGCACCAGACCTCATTACAGATGGTTGTGAGCCACCATGTGGTTGCTGGGAATTGAACTCAGGACCTTTGGAAGAGCAGGCAGTGCTCTTAACCACTGAGCCATCTCTCCAGCCCCCACATGGACTTTTTAGTCTGCAATCCTGCGCTCCAAGCCGGGCTCCCTCTGCACACAGCATCTTTGCCTTATCTTCCACATCTGTAACACAATGCTCACTTATCTATTGTGGTGGGACTGGCAAATGAACCAAGGCCTGTCTGAGACCCGCTGGTTGCCTGGGATACAGAGAACACATCAAGAACACGCATTGCTACCCCCACACAGTAGTCCCACTCTGTGATTTGAGCTATTGCCTTAGAGAATTGCATTTGTTTTACAAGGTTTTTGAGCCAGCCTTACTACGTGACCTTGGCTGGTCTGAACGAGCTGTGATTAAAAGGAAAGCACAACCAATGCTTGGCTTTTACGTTTTAACCCCTCTGCTTTGGTTTATGACATTTACCATTATGCGTGAGGCAAGCGAGGTTTTCTTTTTAGAGTAACGTTCTACGATGTCAGTGTGGCTCCTCATAGGGTGACGTAGCTAGAGTGGCAGGGAAGTCGCGATTCGTTACCTTCAGCTTAGTTTTGTCGGTTGCGTGTGTTTAGACCTTGGGTTACATAAAGCACCATTCAAGCAAATATCATTACAAGTGCAATTTTAGCTAAGTCAGGGGCACAGGCCTGTAATTCCAGCCACTTGGGGGTACTGAGGCAGGAGGATTATAAATTAAAGACCTGCCTGGGCAATTTAGGGAAACAGCAACAACAAAGAAAAAAAATGAAGAATTACAACACAAAACACATCAAACCCACGAAAAACAATCAAGCAATCAGATAATGCACATGCCGCCACACACGCACGGGAGTCAGAGGACAGCCTGTGGGAGCTGGTTCCCTCCAGCCACTAGGGATCCCAGAGACCAAGTCAGGTCACCCACCTTGTTGGCAAGCACTCTTCCCTGCCAAACCATCTCAAAGTCTGCACTTTAAAGCAGGGTGAGCATTTTTATAAATACATCCGGGTGATTTTGCAACTGCTTCTGTGATTTTACCCTGTTAACTCACTCCCTAACATTGTATGCTGAAGTATCAGCAAAACTGGAGGAGAAAAATCTTAGGGCGACAGGTGTCAGGTACCATCTCCTCCCTCAAACGAGGCGGAAGGAATGTGGACTGCAGATGGGAAACGCGTAGCTGACACTTGTCCTTCAGAATTAAGCAGAATTGCTTACTTGTCCTTCAGTTGGTTGGTGGTCTCATTTGTTCCTCCAGGTTGGATATGAAAAGCCTTGGCATGTGCTGCATGCCTGCTCAGTGTGTGCGGCTCTTTAGGTCCGTCCTTTAGCTTTACGCTTTGCATGAGCATTTTGCCAGTGTGTCTCTCTGTGCACCTTGTGTATGCAGTGTCCTCAGAGATCAGAAGAGGGTGCTAGATTCCCTGGAACTGACTTTACTGATGGTTGAGAGCCACTGTGTGGGTGTTAGGAACCGAACCCTGGTTCTCTGCAAGAGCAACATGTACTCTTAACTGCTGAGCCATCTCTCCAGCCCCATTCCTTTGTTGCTCTTTAAGACAGGGTCCTGCCATGGGCACCAGGCTGCTCTGGCACTTACAATACGTTCTAGGCTGCCCTCAGCCTCACCATCCTCCTGCCTCTGCCTCCTAAGGACCAGGATTATAGTTGTGTCCACCCGCTCTCAGGATTGCAAGTTTGCCGTGCCATATCCAGTTCATGTTATTTGATCCACAAAAGATGGTGTAGGTGGGCATGGTGACGCACACCTTTAAACCCAGCACTTGGGAGGCAGAAGCAGGCAGATCTCTGTGAATTTGAGGCCAGCCTGGTCTACATAGTAGTCAAGGCTAGCCAGGGTGTGACAGTGAGACCCTGTGTCAAAATAAAAATAAAAAGAGACATTTAGCTTATGGTTCTTGTGTATAATCTCATCAGTGGATTGGCTGGAATAGTAGGATGCTTCACTGTGAACAAGCCCTGGCATAGTTTCTGGTCTTTTATCAAGATTTCTGCCAATTAGTAGGCTTTTATTGCTAGTTAGGGTGGTAACGCTGGAAAATCCTCCAAAAACCAAACTTGAGAGAAAGGTAGCAAGATGTCTGTATTTCACAGAGCATGCCCAATAAAAACTGATCGAATAAGTTCATGAAATTTCGCCTCAGACAGGAACCATGGGACCTTGCAGAGCTCACAAAGACCTGGTACACAAACTTAGTGAACATCAGGTTGCCGTTCTTGGGAGAAATTGCTTTTGGTAGTCCTGTGAAGCTCACAACACGCAAAACCGTCAAGGATGGCTTGCTCCCTTCAGCACAATGTAAGCTAGCTTGCTTCTCTCTCTCTCTCTCTCCCTTTCTTCCTTCCTTCCCTTCTCTTCCTCCTTCCCCTTTCTTTTTCCTTTTTCTCTTCTTCCTTCCTTCCTTCCTTCCCTCCCTCTCTCTTTCAAGAGCTATTCTAATAAATTAGTGATTGTATCATTTTCTAGTGATCACATAACTTGTAAGTTTGTCATCCACACCCATGCTTCCTGTCTGTCTGTCCTTAGTCGAGTTGTTAGTGCTTCAACAGTGTCCACCTGCTCTGTGCTTTGAGATGGTGCCAGATGAAAACGCCACTCAGATTTGCTGCATCTGCTTTATCTTCCAGCCATCAAACTCGAAAATGAGTATGAAAAAAAGCGCCTAATAAAGCTGAAGTGTCAGGAGGACGCGAGTGAGGAAATCCAGGCTTCGCTAAGGCAGCAGAGAGCTGGCTTGCGAAGACCGCTTCAACCCAAGTGACCCAGTGTGCGGCTGAATCTGAACCTGTTTCCGGCAGTCTCTGTGGGTGACGTGGCTTGGTGGGCACACTGGCAGAGTTCCCGGGTTCCTGCTACACTCTTGTTCTCTGTGCGCATACAGCAGCCCTCCCTGTAAGTAGATGACAGATCACCCTGGGGTTGAGTCATTCTGTGTCAGTCATTTCGTGCTTGTACGATGGCGTGGGAAAAGGACGGCGCTTGGGAGAGGCAGCATTCTGAAGAAACGTCTGGACATGCGACTTTGAGATCCCAGAGAGAGTTCTCAGAAAGCTGGTGAGAGAGGAGCTCCTCTCTTCACGGTGAGAAACTCTCTTCACAACGAGAAACCGTACATTTTTCATCTGGTTAAGAGAAAGCTAGGTTTCATTTCCGTGACGCTACGGTCATTGATTTCTGGTAAAGCATCACTTACTATTGTCATGTGCACTTTATTTTTTAACTTCTTATTGTGTGGTACTTAATTGTCAAGCCACTTCCCCTCTCGCTAATGTTCTCTCCACAATGGACCTGGAGCAGGTGCAGCCCTGTGCTGGAAAGGAACGCAAAGGGACAGAGATGGCCTTATTGGGAGGAAGTCTCATATTTGCAGAGTGGCTGGGGAATGAGGAATTAACTGGAAAGAACTGCCTTTGTATGAACCAAGTTTTCTAAAATTTGCACACAATAAAGCATATTTGGATACTAATGTCATATTTAAGCCCTGTTTTTTAAAGGTGGTTCAACAGAGGTGTGAGGACCATCTCATCTCCTGGCTTCAGAGATGATCCTGTGGGGTAGCGGTGTTTAAACTCTCAGCCTTGAGCCGATGTGTATCCCAGCTGGAGAGTGTATGTGAGGCTTGGGTCTCCAGCACGGAGAAGCAGAAAAAGAACACAGGCTCTACACTTGCTTTTCTCTAATTACTTATAGTAGTGTGACATGGGTGGGGTCATCTTTTCTCCAAGTCGGTGTGCAAAGCGGCACATAAAAATCTGTGCGGAATAATGGCAACTTGTTCATAGTGGTGTCATGGTGGAATGGTTACCCGGAACACGATGAGAATTCCTCTGGTGTAAGCATGGCTGTGAGGGCAGCACTCTGTTGTACCGCTGTGATCTACGTGTAGAAGATAGTATTTAGCTGACCCTTGACCTTTGTGAAAACCAGAACTATTGAATTTTTCAGAAAATCTGTTTTGAAATCAGGTGTGGTATATACCTCTGCTGTTCCAACATGCAGGAGGCTGGAGGATGAAGCAGGGGAATTGTGAATTTAAGCCCAGCCTGGGGTACAGAGTAATATCTTGAGAGTTCTATGTGTGTTAGGCCATGTGACCTGATTATTTATTTATTTATTTTAGACAGGGTTTCTGTGTGTAGCTTTTGAGCCTGTTCTGGAACTACCTGATTTTTTAATTCAAAGCAGGGTATGAGACCAGTGAAGTGAGGTGGATCAATTGGTAAAGGTTCTTGCCGCCAAGCCTAATGGCCTAAATCCATTCCCTGGGACTCGCATGAGGACAGATGAGAATTGATTCTTGCAAGCTGTCCTTTGACCTCCATACATATATCATGGCATGCACATGCCCATACACACACACACACACACACACTAATGTGTGACAAAACTTTTGTTTGTTTGTTTTTTAAGATAGGGCTTCTCTGTGTATCTTTGGCTGTCCTGGAACTTGCTCTGTAGACCAGGCTGGTCTTGAACTCATAGAGATCCACCTGCCTCTGACTCCCAAGTGCTGGGATTAAAGATGTGTTCCACCACTGCACAGCAGACAAAATTTTTCCTAGGGCAACTCAACACACATGTCTATTTACCACACATGGGGAGCCCACAGCACACCACAGTACAGAGCCAATCAAGTCCAACTTGGAGAACCATGAGCTTTATTGGGTTAGTTACAGGAATATGGGCGGAGGACCAGAAATGACTCATAGACAGCTGCATTACCAAAGCCCACCCCCTCCATGGGTGACAGCTCACAAAGGGTGTGAACCTGGTGCACACTGCACAACCTGCAAGCAACTCAACGGTTTGGAGAGTGTTCTTTCCATGTGACTCAGTTGGTCTAAACCTCTTCCAGGCAGCTTGTCTTGTCTTCGTCTTCTTTGCCTCTTGACTTGTTTACTCTGGTAGGGAGAAACCTAATGAATCTAGTCAGTTTCAGGGACTTCCTGAAGCTGTTTTATTTTCCTTCCTACTTAAGGAGCTTCCTATAGGATAGGATCTTTTAATACACACATGGGATAGGGGATGGAGAGACAGACAGACAGACAGACAGACACACACACACAACTATGTCCTGAGTGAATGCACATCATTGATGTGAGCATAGCCATGACAAGGACCAAGGTCACAGACCGAAGGGAAATTGGCAAATCCTTGTTCTCCCTCTGGTTCAAGTATGTGTGCTTGTGGACTATTGATCAGTGTGTACAAAATGTTAAATTAGCTGCACCTTCCTCCTCGCATTTGTTTACAGCTCAAGGTTGCTGCCTCCAGAGACCTGCTCCTGCGACCAGCTAAACGGCTCACCCCCTGCACACAGTAAACACATGGAGGTTACCGATTGCTTGTGTGCGGCTCCGTGGGACCCCAGTTTTTCTACTTGTGTGTCAGCGTGCCTGGCCTTCATTTCCTTGCAGCCTCTGGGGTGGGGTTTCAGGATCAAGGCGCACTATGTTTATGGAAATTCTGGAAGTCTTTCTTTCAAAAGTGGTATTGTCCCTGATAATAGCTTGTTCCATCTCTTTTTCTTAAAAGCATCTTGGAGAATTTGTGTGCAGAAAGGAGACATATGTCTCCCTGTGGTTCCCAATGGCACGGGTAGTGGCTTGTGACTGGCTCTCAGGACCTTCTAGGGACTGTTACAGGGGTCTCATCTTCCCCTCAGACATAGGTTCTGTTAGGTTTATATTCTTTGGTGCCACTGTGAAAGTTAATGAACAGGCAACTTTTAATTTGCTTTTTACCAAATGCTTTCTGGCATAGAGCATATAATGCCGTCTTGAGAAAAGACAGGATTTGAAGATATTGCAGTTCCTCATCAGTGTGAGGGAGAAGTGCCTTCTGCTGCTGGAGTCGTCTCATTACATAAGATTTTCAGACATGTGTTTTGACTCTTAAAACTGCTTGTAGAAAAATAAAGGTAGCACTGCAAAGTAACCCGAGTGAAGGTTCTAGTTTATAAAATGTGTGTATGTGTATGTGTGTGTGTGTGTGTGTGTGTGTGTGTGTGTGTGTGTGTATGTTTTACCTGCATGTGTGTTTGTGCAGCACTTGTGTACCTGGTGCCTCAGGAAGCCAGAAGAGGGCATCAGATCCTCTGGGAGTGAAATTATAGACAGCATGTGGGTGCTGGGAATTAAACCCTCATCTTCTGCGAGAGTAACTCATGCTCCCTGACTACTGAGTCAACTCTCCAGCTCATGAGCAAAGGCTTTAAAGCCATATTTTAAGATTTATTCTTTGATAATTTTATATGTGCATACAATGTAGTTAGATCATATACAACAATAATCTTTGCTCCAACTCCTCGCAGGCTGCCCCCCACTTTCTGCCTACAACGTATATATCCAGAAATCAACCAAACAACAACAACAAAACCCTACTGAGTCTCAGAGCCACCTAGATGCTCACGGATATAGTCCTGGAGCATGGGGCAATGACTGTGAGCTGCTGAAGAAAACACTCTCCTGCCTGGAGCAGTCAGCCCTTAAGCGCTGCCGTTATCTCCTCGGTGCAGGGGGAGGAGTCCTGATTGGCTTGATCCTGTGCGGATCTTGTGTCAGCAATGGCAGCTGCTGATGAGTTCATGGGTACAGTCATGCCCAGAGGACGTCTCACAGCAGCTTGGCTCTGCTTCTTGTACTCTTCCTGCCCTCCTCTTTGCTGTTCCTCGAGCCTTGAGGGAGGGTAAGGGGTGTGATATAGATGTCAAGTTTAGGACTTAGTGCTCCGCAGTCTCACACATTCCCCTCCTCGGTTGTCTCTATACAGAGGACGTTCTCTGATGAGTACGAGGAAAGCCTTCAGAAGGGTCTATAACCCCTCCAGTCATGGGGTTAGGTTTACAGTACCAGATGTGAGTTCCTGTCTGTGGAGCAGTTGGCTACACCTATAATAGCCATGCCACCATTGCACTCATAGACAAATCTTTCCAGGTAGAATAATAGGGGGAGGGGGATAATGGAGGGATTATTAAGGAAGGTAGATAGGAGAATAAGGCAGAGGAGAGAATAATAAATAACACTAATGATGTTTGGAAAAGCAATATGGAAACCTAGTATTTCTTGAGCTCTCTCTATATTAAAAAATGAATTGGAGTTACTCTATATACAGGAGTCATGATCCTCCCAAAGCTTATCAAACGGAAAGCCCAGTGTGCAATTATTTGACCACCTGCAGCTGAGTTGCCTGTTAGGAGGGCCTAGAACCCCTATTGCCATCGCTCTTGGGATACCCACGAGAATTTGATAATAAAACTCTATTGCTGAGGATAGCACATTCTCCCCCTCTCCTTTCTCTTTCTCCCTTCCTTTCTCCCTTCTTCCTTCCCTCCCTCCTTTCTTTCTTTTCTTCCTTCATTCCTTCCTCCCTCTCTCCCTTCCTTCCTTCCACCCTTTTTTTTCGACAAGGTTTCTGTGTTGTCCTGACTGTTCTGGAACTCATTCTGTAGACCAGGTCAGCCTTGAACTCTACCTCTAGAGCGCTAAGATTAAAGGCACGTGCTACCATGCCTCACCATTTACTTATGTATGTATGCTTTTATTTGGATAGGGTTTCTTGTATTCCAGGCTGGCCTTACATTCATGACATTTCTGAGAATGGTCTTGGACTCTTGATCATCTTTCCTCTGCCTCCTGAGTGGTGGGATTATGGATACATGCCACCAAGCCCCGTCTGTGCGATGCCGGGGATGGAACCCAGGGCTCCACACCGTACAGACAAGCATTTTATTTTATTTTAATCTATTTATATATTATGTATACAGTATTCTCGGTATTCTGTCTGCATGTATGCCTGCAAGCCAGAAGAGGGCACCAAATCTCACTATAGATGGTTGTGAGCCACCATGTGGTTGCTGGGAACTGAACTCAGGCCCTTCGGAAGGGCAGGCAGTGCTCTTAACCACTGAGCCGTCTTTCCAGCCCTAGACAAGCATTTTACCAACTGAGCTACATTCTCAGATCCTAGTTTCTGAATTTTATCTTGATTATCCGTGCTCCTTTTAACTCACTAAACACCACCACAGTGATTATTGATAGGTCTGCTTTACTTTAGACTTAATTTCTGGAGATTACTATTTTCTTTTGATTGGACCATATTTTCTTTATTCTTTGCATGCCTTATAACTTTCTCTTGAAATGCAGCCATTTGTGAAATGAGCCAGTCCCTGATGCGGGAATGAATTGTTCTGTTTACTTATTTTCTGGGTAGCCTCTAACCTTGCATCCCAATCATCACTCCTTTGAGAACCAAACCTAAGTGCTAGAGAGAGGGTTTAGAGCACTTGTTGCTCTTGCACATGAGCCAGGTTTGATCTCCAGCACACACATGGCTCTAACTGTTCTTGAATCCACTGTGTAGGCCTGCCTATAATTCATAAAGATCCACCTGCTTCTACCTCCACAGTGTTGGGGTTAAAGGCATTGATATAATGCCAACAGGCCTGGCATTTTGTTTTTGTTTTGA